CTTGTCTTTAGACGCGTATAGGGCTCGCGATCTATCGAATGTTTATCGGCGTTTGATCTCCCGACATGCTCCAGAGATCAAGATGACCATGCACGATCTGTAAAAGATTCTTACCGCGACATTTTTTATTTGCGTGAGCATTTGCGTTGCTCTATTCCTCATCACAAATTACGTCGTATAAAATCCGATTGTATCAAGCGATTGTATAAGTGAATTAAATAAGCCTGGTTTAATGACTCGCCGTCGTTAGCATAGAGAATTTAATTAACTGAAATTAATTAACGCAACAGGTCCTAAACATAAAAGCTTCGGAGGATTCATTACGAAATTGTAAAAATTAATTTGTATTATGGAGAGTGAGATAATTCAGTTGCGTGATGCAAATATATTTTCTCGTGTGTGTGTATACACCAAACCACCTCCGGCGCGGTTTCGAGAGGATAGTATGGAAGAAAAAGCGACGTTCAGATTTATAATAACCGGAAGCGCGGCGTTGTTGCAGTGGCGTCGTTATTTAAATTAGCCGCGCTATTCATTAAACAGTTAATTATACTTAATTGCGCGCCGCGTGGCGTGTTTTTCACGTGTAAAATATCTGAATTACGGGCTTTACCAATGGGTAAACCGTAACAGTTGCCTCCGCTTCAATCTTAATCTCATACTTTCGGAGCTGAACATTCCTTTCCGCTTTTCGCGTTCGCGCCTAGTGTAAGCCACCGCGAACGCGTGCCTTCTAACAGCGCTCTTTCGTTTTTTTTTTTCCAGGTGATGTTCCGTATAAACCGTACATCAGCGGCGAGCCCGAGGTTCGATGCGTACCTCTGGACGGCACCGAGGATTTTCTCATAATCGCCTGTGACGGATTGTGGGACTACGTCGATCAGAGAACCGCGGCGCTCCGTGTCTACCGGCAGGTGCTGCAAAATCCCTGTGAGTATAACGTAATTTCACTGAATTCAGTAATTAATCAAATGATGAATTCGCACTACACTGGATTAGTGCATATTACAAAGGCTGCTTTGTACCAAAAGTATCTAAATATGGCGTAATATCAATTTTAACAATGAAATAATATATGTATGTTCTATTAAATAACGAATGATGGCAATATATATTATTGAGTAATCATTTAAAATATTTATATGCTTTTATTTGTATTAACTTTAACTTTGTTAATTTTATGTATAGCAACTATTAGTATGCACTAGTTTAGTGTAATATAAGAGCTAGACGTCTGTCTAGCTGGCCCTTACTTTTAGTCAAATCTTAATGAATAAATTATATAATAATGCGCTATTTATGCGCTCTCAAAATCCGCAAAAAAAATTTTTGCGCTCATTTTACGTAAAAAAATTTTTTTTATAGGGCTGAGTAAGCCCCTTCCAACGTATTAATAACAACTGATTTGGAAAATCAAATACATAGGATTTATGTGTTATTTATGCGCTTTCATATTCACATAGTTTCAATTTTTGCGCTGCAACTCTTAAAAGACATAAGTGAAATGAAGTGAATATGAAAGCGCATAAATAGCGCATAAATCCTGTGTATTTGATTTTTCAAATCGGTTGTTATTAACATGTGGAGGGAGGGGCTGACTGACAGCTTATTCAGTACCTCCACAAGAAATTTTTTTTTTAACTGAACGAAATGAGCGCAAACATTTTTTTTCGCGGATTTTGAACGCGCATAAATAGTGCATTATTATATCATTTATTCATTGAGATTTGGTTAAGTGGGAGACCAGCTAGGTAGACGTTAATATGTGTGAGTGACTGAATTCACTAAAAATATTTAAATCGCTAGCGTTGTTTGACAAAACTTGACAGTGAGTAATATGTATAGTGGCTGCCAAAAGCTTTCGACCAATGAGTAATTTTATTATATTGTTTGGTAAATAATTTTTACTGAAGATAAAAATAGTCTTTAATAAAGATCTATTATACAAATATTTTTAATATATTTTAAGAACGTTCTTCGTTTTGAACATTTTTAGCACTTCAAAGATCGCTTAAAAATTAATTGATAATTAGGCCTGTGTGCTTTTAATGTATTCTAGTCTTCTTTAATGTATTTAAAATATTAGTATTTTTAAATTGATTGTAATAAGAATTTTATTTGTAATATAAAGTAAAAAATAAATTGACAAAAATTATCATAAAATTATATATTGCCAGAAATATTTGGCAACCGCTGTATATCTTTTATTATACATATTCTTTTTTTTTCTCTCATTTCTATCGCGTCCGCGAATATTATTCATTCAAGCATTTACCTGGTTATTCAACTTTAATTATTTTATGATCAACCGAAAGAAGATGCTATTACTTCTCTTATTAACTCTCACTAGAATTGAAGATTTTTTAAAAGCACTGAAGCGCCACAGACTTAATTTTCAATTAATTTTTAAGTAATCTTTAGAGTAGTAAAATGTTTAAAATGAAGAATATTCTTAAAGCGCAACTAATTATTTTTATAATTTATATAACTTAAGAAATTGTGATTTTTTTGCGAATCGCAATAACTTTTCATGGATAAATTCTTAGAAAATTGTGAAAGAAATTTCTTACCGACTAATAACGAGGAGAAAATCCATTGAACATCACTGCTGGATAAGTACACCGCACGCACGTATTCAATGTACATTGATCGATATGACGTACTTTAAGCGATAAGCATGCTTTTACAGGAAATTCAAGTCGAATCGTTTCCATTGCCATAACGCTCGTAGCGCTCCAGTGATACTGCGATACTTGAGAAAGTAGGGGAAACGATGTCGTTTCGTCGGGGAATTTGTTCTAGAAAAGACGAATCTCTTTGTAATCCAGTCTTACTCTTTCTGTCTTCTTCTTTCTTACTCTTTCTCTCTTAATATTCGTAGCATTTTACTTGCCATGCTCTGTTTCCTCGATTTCCGGAACGGACGTGACATAAAATTTGCGTATAGCGTTTTGCATGATGCTCTCTCCTGCTGATTTGTTGACCTTCCTGATGCTTTTGCGCGAAATTCATGGAAAAAAAATCTGGTAATAGCTATCAAATATTGGGTGAATAATATCAGTCAAATGTTCGATTAATGTAATAAAAAATAAATTTTATTTTTTCCAATATTTATTAAATACTTATAAATGTTGGTTATATTATTATTGTATATTTGGTAATATTTCCTAAATATTTAAGAAAATAGAATTATCTTTGGTTATATTAATCGAATATAGATTGGCACTATTTCTTAACATTTAGTAATAGCTATTACCTGCAGACTTTTTCAGTGCACGAAGAATCGTTAACATAAAATAATATGCGATACACTGTAATATATGCGAGGAAATATGACAGTTTCACTATTTATACATACTGTGCGACGATCGATTTTTTTCTCGCATAAGCTGAGCTACTTTTTTTACAATAAGAGATGGGAAAGCGGGAAGAGATAGGAACAGCTGAAGCAGCAGGTGAATGAGAAATTGCCACAATTTAATGAAAACGCAGCTGACATAAGCTGCTTTTTTATTTTTATTATTTCCAGAGGGAATAATAAAAATAAAATAATCAGATTTAAAATAAGTAATAAAATGAAGTATTTAGATTCAAACATTTAAAAATGAACAATATCGGCAATTACATAACAACACGGCCAGTTATGTAAAAGTATTTCAATAATAACAATAATAATTTTTATATGTAAAGAAATGATTGAAGAAATGATTTTGCTGAAATGTAAAAAAATTTAGTTGGATACGGAAATAATATTGCTTGGATCATTAAAATACGTAGGAATTTCAAACATGATGAGAAATGCTGCAAAAAATTTTAGCATTCTAGCAATCAGTTTGGGCGTTTTACATAATTGTTTTAATGGTTTTACATGATTGTTCGAACAAAAATTATTTTCAGATTTATATCTACCTAAAATTTTTAAATATTTCAACAAAATTATTCTTTCCGTGTAATCATTATTATCGTTAAAATATATTTATACAACTGACGTATTAACGTATTGACACAGAGCAACCGTGTTGCTGATGAGTATTTTTAAATGCATAAATCTGAATTATTTTATTTTTAAAATCTGAATGTTCATTATTTTATTACTTTTTATTTCAAATCTTAAATGTTTTATTTTATTTTTATTTTCTCCGGAAATGTGATAAAAATAAAAAACAGCTTGTATTAGCTGCATTTTCATAAAATTGTGGCAATTTTTCATTTATCTGCTGCTACAAAATTCTCTTTTCCGTATGAATATTTAATGTATGTGTTCTCAGATATATATGCTTCATAAATCAAAATCTTCCTTATGATTCTTTATTTAATTTTGAATTTTTATCTTAAAAACATGGATACCTTCTGCATGAATTACGAATGAATAGTACCTAAAGTCTAAACGTTCTCGAGAAAGAAAAGTTTACTCAGTCTACTCATCTAATCAGTCGAAGACTTGTGCAGTAAAAATGAAATACGTCCGAGACACTCGGTACGTTTGAGATAGTTGACAGATACGATATCACGTGGACTTGATGTTTGACACTTATTGCAAACGATATTTTTCCGAGTAATAGCAATCTTCAACCGGACGGAAGCAATAAAGTCGATAAATCTTTTCCGGAAACCGGCGCATTTCTTTTACAGTATAAACTCGTAATTGAATCATCGTCCTCGCCTTAATACAAGGCACTGTCTCGAAGATGCTGTAGACGTCTTCTTCTCGACTGCTACGTCTTGTGCTTTTTTTTTTGCCTTACTGGTGTTGAAGGGAGGTCTGTCGAATGTAACGCGAACTTGGTGCTCGTCTTTTCCTTCGTTCTCGAGCAAGCAGGCCGATCGGCACAAACTTGGTGGCTCCTCCGATCATTCTCTCACTTGCTCGTCATCCGTCTACACGGTCGGCTGTCTCTCTCTCTCTCTCTCTCTCTCTCTCTCTCTCTCCCGTCGCCTTTTCCTCGGGACATTTTCCCTTCGATTGATTTTTCGCCACGACCTCGCGTCTCGCGTCTCTCAGTTGGTGACTCAGTGGTTCACAGTGATTCATAGTGCCTCCAAGGAGGAAGACCTCGAGAGGAGAATATTAGCAGTCCGATCAATTGCCTTCGTACAAATTCGCCCCGGTAAGTCGCGGATTATCCGCAATCAATTGACTGTCAAGCGCGAATAACAATAAAGAATGGTAGACAGGGAAGAAAAAAAAGTCTCTTTAGTATCCTTAAAAGATCTACTAGTTTATTTAGAAAACCAGTATACAAGAAAACGGAAGTTCTTGAAAAAGCTGTTGAATAGCAAAAGTTAATATAAAATTATCATTAAGAAATTGTTGTTATCGATTAATGAATAATTGAAGATTCAGATAAATTAGGAACTCAGACAAATTAACTTAAATCATTAATCTATTATTTATGACAATTCGAAATAACAATTTTTTTAAATACAATGGATATTTATAAGAATGGATAATTTCTAATCGATGATTAAGACTAATTATAAGCTATTATTTTATCGATTTCTGTACTTTCGGAACCTATTTTATCACTCCTGAAAACACTACTGAATAACAAAAATTCTAATAAAATTAGTAGTTATTAATTTTAGAAATTATAATTATGTAAAAATTGCAATAGTAGTTACTAATTTTTATTTTTATTTTTATAGAATTAAACACTGAAATTTAATTGGGAAATAATTGAAAAATTACTAAACGAATTAATTATTTTCGCCATTTTTCCAAAAACGTCTATAATAACTGCTAATCTTTTATCATCGGGAAATCATGTCTTGCTTGCTCAGTCAGCTCGCTTCTTTAATCACAAAGCCGATTATCTTCTAGAAGGCACCGTCGCATCCGATATTGCTTCGAAAATTAGTGCCCATCGATCACAGATATCGACATCATGTGATGTTGCGTCCGTACGCGTGATGCGCATAGAAATCGCGAA